TATTAGTTTTTTTAAATTTCGAAAGACATACAGAAATTAACTAAATGCAAATGCAAATTTGGTATATACAAATTGAGTCAGTCTTTCCCAAAAGGATTGCGAGTATGTGGAGAGAGTTGATCACGTTAAAAAAAAATATACGTCAATGTTCTTAGAACATTTTTGTTTTTAATTCCTATTACAATTTGAAGAAAAAAGTTTCCTTGAAAACATTTTAACTTTATAAAAGTTATTATTTTTCTGCAAAATGAGTAAATTCACTTGCCTGCTTATTAGGTAAAGGTAAATTGTCGATATTCCAATTTGGACAAAAGAGTCTTAGATAGACAACTTGTATCGGTTACAGTAAAAAACTTCTAATTATTGACATGTTTATTTATTGCTTTAATGATTTTTTGTAAAATCAGATGAAATTAACAATAAAAAACCTAACAATCAGTATCAGTACAACAAATTTGAAAATGTTAATGAGATATCAATAAAATTACTATTATTACGTCGATATCAACCGATCTTAATGCAGCAGTTGCTAAAAATGTGCCCCATTTACTTCGACGTATTTTTCCAAGTGATAACAATATTTTCTTTGCAGCTCTTGCATGACAAAATTCTCTTTGCACACTCTGCAGTACGACCCATTATTCCTCAAATTTTGCAAAATATCTTCAATTTTAACAATCACTTTTCCCTAATGTTAATTTGAACGGAGCAAACTTGTTCTTTGATATACATCCTTATAAAAAGTCCAAAAGGTGTTAGGTCTGCTGAGCGAGAAGACTATGTCACTGCTCCGTCACGTACAATCCATTTTCGGTGAAAATTATCGTTGAAATAATTATATACAATTATTTCTTCAAGTTGAAACCAATAATCATTTCTCACTGCTAGACAGATATCACCGATTTGATTATGGAGTTCCTTCTGAACAAAACGATAAAATTCCAGCGAATTTAAATGTGGCGGGAGAAAAAACCCACATAAATTTTCCCTAATAAGACACATCCACATATTAACACTAAATTTATGTTGAACTCTTCGTCTTACTGACTGGGGATTAGCAAGCCAAATTATAAAAATTGTGGAAGTTAATTGATATACGACAAATAAATGTTTCTTCATCGGTACAAATTATTGATTAGACAGAAAATTTAGATAGATAACGTTTATTAAACGGTGATAAATATGTGTCCAATTATCACTGGCGGACAAACAAATGTTTTTTTTGTAACACGGACCTGAATAGCATATTCCACTGGAATAAAGCCTTCTAATTATAGAAATGTCGTAACAGTCGTAACGTTTTTTTTACATTAATAAAACATTATGGGCAGGAATAACAATATTGTTAATTTTACTAATCTACCTATTGCTATATATCAATGATGTATATGACATATATTAGGCATACATAGATATATCTACAAAGATAGAGAATAATTTTTGAAAACCATATGCTCAGTTCATTTTTTCTCTTTTATAGGGGGTCAAACTGTCTCGCTTCAAGAACCAACCCTTCAAGTAATCACCCATCATGGCTGGATCCCATCGTCCTTGATACCAAATTTCTATTGTCCTGATATCTTGATGAAATCTTTCTTCTTGCTCGTTGCTTACCGCACCCAAATTTTCAGGAAAAAAAATTTAAATGAGAGTGCACATTGAACTTTTAAAGACATACGGTAAGCAAGTGTTTGGTACGAATTAAAAGTTGCTAGAAGTTGCTTGTGGTTTTCATTCTTCTTGTTCCATAAAAATCCCTTGACTATGCTTACAAATAAGTTCCAAGCTTTGGGTTCCCATCTGTTCAGTGTTTCTTTAAAATCTGCCTCATCAAGCAATTTTCTAATTTGAAGACCAATAAAAATGCCTTCATAAAGTTTGGCATTATTTAATTGTGGAAAAAGTTCTCTTAAGTATTTAAATCCTTCACCCTCTTTATTCATAGCCTTCACAACATTTTTCATTAGCCCAAGTTTAATATGAGGAGATGGTAAAAGAACATTTTTAGGGTCTACAAAGAGCACATATTTAACATTACTAGTTTCTTGTTCAAATTCTTTCATTTCCGGCCAAATTTTTCTCACATAATGTTATTTTACTACACGACTGTCATACAAACTATGAAAACAACAATATTTTGTAAAGCCTCCTTGAAGCCCTACTAAAATGGCTATTACTTTTAAATCCCCACATATTTGTATTTGTTGTAATTAATTTTATTTAAAATAGTGCTCATACAGTCATAATCTTTCATTGTTACTGAATGGGCAATTGGTATAGATGGTGTTAAATTTCCATTATACCGGGTGTAACAAGATCATGGTACACCCCCTTTTCTCCTTTAAGTTTTGGAGAAAACTGATTGAAATTTGGGATATCCTATATACAATAAGTGACAATTTTTGACATACAAGTGATTTTTCTTTAACTTCCGGTTTCGCCGGAAGTGACACTAACTTTCGATTTTTAAATAGAATACTCTTTATATTATTGCTTTTTCAATTCTGCATAATTTTCTGAATCCAACGATACCAAATAAGTAACATTTCAAACGTTAATATTTTTTATAATATCATTTTTTAGTTTTCCATTTAAGTGTGCCTGCCATGTCGGTTCCGATTTTTTCTAAATGACCCATGTAATGCTAGAAAAATCGAAATCCCGTCAATAATACTAAATTACGTGATTTATGAGCAAATAAACTGATTAGGAACGTAGGATGGAATATTGCAATTGGACTTTGCAGAATAACGTTCAGCCAAACAATGATTTTATTTTCGGACGAGTCTAGGTTTACAAATTTGGGATTATTTAACCGACAAAATATAAAATATTGGTCGCAAGAAAATCAAAATTTATTACGGGTGGGTAACTTTCAATGCAGTTCAGTTTCAATATTTGGCTTGGGATAATCGGTAGTAGAATCAATGGTCCAATAATATTTGAAGGACCCCTGACGACCAGATTCTTGGGATTTCTGCAAAATGAAATTGAGGACAGTTTAGCTGAATTATGTTTCCATTTACGTCAGGGAATGTATTTCCAACAAGATGGCGCCCTTCCTCATAATTCAAGGATAGTAATTGATTACCTTCAACAGAGATTCGGAGAAAACGTAATTTCGACGAATGGTCCTATGAGGTAGCCTCCAAGGTCACCTGATTTAACACCTCTTGATTTCTTTGTTTGGAGTCATTTAAAAAATATTGTCTACGCAACCGCCGTTACAACCCGTGAAGACCTGGAGCTACGAGTAGACGCGCAATTAATGGCATAACACCCAGCAATTGGCGAACGTTCTTCGAGAAACAGATATGCGAGTTTAGAAGTGCATTGACGTAAATGGACAGCATTTTGAACAACTGCTGTAATGTTTTGTTTTCATTTTTTTGTATTCCAAAGCCACCTTATGTATAACAAGGTAATTAGAACAAAATTGTATTTCCTTATTTTTTTTTTTAGCAGTAATTTTGTTTGTATATATCGCACATTTTAATACGACATATGAATAAATTCCTTATTAATAGTACCAATAAATGGTACCACGGTACCAATGTGGTTCCATTTGAAAAAAAAGAGTTTTTCCCCAAAAACCATTTTGATGAACTTTATTTGCTCATAAATCACGTAATTTAGTATTTTTGACGGGATTTCGATTATTCTAGCATTACACGGGCCATTTAGAATAAATCAGAACCATCATGGTACTCTTAAATGGAAAACTAAAAATTATATTATAAAAAATATTGACGTTTGAAATGTCATTTATTTGGTATCGCTGGATTCAGAAAATTATGCAGCAATCAAAAATGCAATAATATACGGGGTGTTCCATTTAAAAATCGAAAGTTAGTGTCACTTCCGGCGAAACCAGAAGTGAAAAAAAATCACTTGTATGTCAAAAAGTGCTGATTATTATGTATATAAGATATCCAAAATTTCAATCAATTATCTTCTAAACTAAAGGAGGGAAGGTGGTGTTCCATGATCCTGTTACACCCGGTATAGTAATACAACTTTTAAACTGTCTTTGGAGAAATCTATAAGCGACACTCAGAAGCGGAATGCTCGATATTAAGTTCTTGCATTAAACCTTCAATATCAATACACACGCATAGCGAATTTTCCATATTATAAAATGCAGAAGATGTTGCAGATGCAAATGCCGTAATCTTTGCTTCTTTAGCCAGTAAGTCTACTCCTTAAGTCGGGAACCAAGAAGTTCTGTTTGTTGTTTTGACAACCCCAAGTCACGTACAAAATTATTCAATTCATTTTGAGCAATTAAGTGAGGGTCACTCAAAACTTTGGGTGTTTGGGGGGGCGTTTCTATTTCCATTCCCCAAAAACAATATTATGCCAACATAAAGGCGCAGTTGGCACTGGTATGTCTGATGCATTTTTGAATATCCCTCAGTTCTTGTTACACAAAAATTGCAATCATCGAAATGATAGGTGGGTTCTCGCCATACTATTGGAACCTAAAAAGGCATGCTTTTCCTTTTCCCTTTCATCCACCGCACTAGTGACACACTACAACTTAACAACAACCCACTGCTTGTCTTGATCTCCGACTAAAACTCCAAAATATAGAAAATACGCTTCTTTCACATTTTCAGACAACTTGTCAGGTGAGTAGTGGTGAGAGGTATGTGGAACTTCTCATATGGTCCAAACGCTACTATCCGACCGACATCATAGATGTCTCTGTGGCGGATAGCGACTTGCGAAGCAAGTACCGAGAGCGGCGACCTCGAGCCCAGGTGGACTATACTACTGTTATTAAATATGATTTCAATGAAACAACTACTCAGCGGGTAAATACCCCGACCTGCATTGGATTATACCTTCAAATCATGATAGATCGGTAGCTAGCATGACAGATCGGTGACTCCAAAAAAAGGTGCGAAGAAACATTATAGATGCCACTATGTACAAAAGTATGAGATATTATTGTTCTTTTTTTTGACATTGTATCGGTATGCCATATAGCACTTTATGGCTTCGTGGTCAAGCGGTAAGGACACTTGCCTTTCATCCTGGAGTCCTGAGTTTTATCTCCGGTTCAGGACCCGGAATTTCTTTTCGGGAAATTGTAAATACCTGGCCGAAATGTGCTTTACCTTAGTAAAAGAATATGAAATGAGTCGGCTTAGTACTTATATGTTAGGCTTGACACCAAGGGGTCCCGGGTTCGAATCCTGGGTATGACATCGATGTACAGTGTCAGTAGAATAGTTTGTTAGAGCGTTGTGGTGTGGTAGAACAGGACTAGCCACTGTCTATCTCTCCTGAGTTCGAGTCTAAGCTGCGACATCTGGCAAATGACGGAGGTACTGGTTGTTGTTGTTGTTGTGTGTGTGTGTGTGTTTGCGTGCGTGCGTCCGCGCGTGCGTGCGTGCGTGCGTGCGTGTCTTGTCTGTCCGAGTTGAGTGGTGGAATAGCAATGTGCCAAACTCCGACAGGACGTTAATATAAATAATATGATAAAAGAATTGAAATATCGTGGTTTTCTCATCTATTGAAGTGTTAGTAGGAGATCCATAATTGGTAATGAAACAGTTATTAGATGTAGCTAATTTCAGGATCTTGGAGTCATTTTCATATGCATTGGCAAAAAGCCAACCATTTAGCAAACCAGTTTGAAAATGTACACAGTCAAAATTACCCAAACAATCTCGATTACGACCGCATCGAAAATACAATTTCTCAAATATACGGACATTGAGTCCAAATTCTTATGACGCGATAAGAAATTTTAGCAACCATGACCACGCCCGCGGAGCTAAAAATGCTTATCAGGACGCTCGTCAACTAAAAAGCGCCGGGATAGGACGGTATCGATGAAAAGATACTCTAAAATCTACCGAGACAAGGTATTGTCCAACTTACGCACATCACCAATGGCATTCTGCATCTGCAACACTGGCCTAGGGTGGTGTATCTCATCTTGAAGCCGAATAAAAATCCGAAGACGGCTTCTAGTTACCGTCCGATATCTTTACTATCGACCGCGACGGTATCTAAGTTGGTTGAAAAGGTCGCCCTGAAGTAGCTGAACACCTCTTAGGACGATCTTGAAATCAACGACGATTTTCAATTCGATTTCAAGAAGAGATGCAGTAAGACACAGCAGATCGTCAGTATCGTCAATGATGTCCAAGCGACAGTATATTCTTGACAATAGCACCGTCATGGTGCTCTTAGATATTGAGAAAGCATTCCATAGCATCAGGTTACCTGGTATCATATATAAACTGCATCGGTTCCACTTTCCAGGCCACTTAACATAACTGATACACTCTTACTTGCACGACTAAACGCTGCAACTGAGAGAGAACAAATCTCTATCAGTACAGAGGGACATTAGAGCAGGCGTTCAGCAGTGATCGGTTTTTGCTCCAAAATTATATTATATACATGTTCGACTTTCCGCAGTTCCCGAACACCAAGCATGCTATGTCGCACGATACCACCATGTACCGCTATGGTCGCCACGTTCAGACCGCTGGGCAGCTGATAAAGGGCACTTAGTAAGGGCGTCAAAATACTCGCTAAGTGGAAGATGAAAGTGAACGTCTCCGAGTTGGAGGCTATTGTTTTCACTAGAAAAAGAATAAACAATAAATGAATACGCCTTTTTGATGGAAGGGCAGCCAAATTGAGACGGAACAAGACGTAAATTATTTAGTTGTAACTTTGGATAAAGGACCTTATTTTGGAAAATATGTTAACGAGATGATACGCAAAATCTCTTCCCTATCCAGGGAGTCTATACCCCCTGATGGTGGGGAATAGCAGACTAAAGAGTGATAATAAAAAATTAATTTACACAATCATAGTGAGACCGGTCCTACTACATGCAGCGATGACTTGGTGTTCTGCAATTGCAGGTACTGGAAAACAAATTTCTTCGCCTCATAAGTAACTCAACATGATATACCCCCATAAGGAAATTACGACAACTTTGCAAGGACATCGTACCCATAGCGGATTATATCAGAGATGTCTCACAAATATTTTACGAATTTAAATTCTCTGATTGTCCATTAATAGCCAACATTACACAAACAAGGGAGTATAACGCACCATTTCGAATAAAACACAAACTACCCTACCAAACGTTACCAATTTTCGGACAACATATTTAGACTATGGTCCTCCCACAAAAATGGGATTTTTTTCTCACCTTTCTCTTCTTTTCTTTTCGTTTGTTTTTGTTGTCGAAATGTCTCACAAAATTTTTTACAAATCATAAGCCAACCATCTATGTTAATGAAGTTAAATTTGGTGGCTGTTATGAAGGCTGCCAAATTTAGTCACAACATCTTCAATTTTTAATTATTTTGCAATATTTTTTCATATTCGGGTCAGGTTAGGCATGGTATCAAACAGAAAAAAATAGAATCCTCTCCTTCTTTCAGCCACAAGGGGCGGCAAAAACGTTCTTAACATTCGGGCGGCAAAATTGAATATGTATTTTTCTTGGACACAAGGTTGGGCCATGGATTTGGTTGACAGTGTTTTCTTTTATGGTGTAATACAATTTATACATTTTTAAATTTAAAAATTAATGACCTTAAACTTTGTGCCACATCACATACATTGTGATTCCATCTAGGTTTTTATATAGTGAATCCTACATATGATTAGATAGACCAAAAATCTGGTAAATCATTTTAATAGCAGGTATATGGGAAGAATTTGTACAAAATTAATTGCAAGTAATTTGTGATTACTAGAGATCGAGAGGTAGAGATAAATGACGTCAATTACAGGGTTGACGCTAGTTGATGTGTGATGTGTCACCGCCTAAAAATGTTCATGTACATATGACACAATATATTACCTTGTGATTATTTTGGCAACTTTGGTAACATCTAAAGTTAATACGAAGAGGGCTGAAAGTATTGATGAATATAACATTAACACACACACACACACACCCACACACACACACACACACACACACACACACACACACACAAACACACACCCCCCCCCCCCCCCCCCCCCACCCCCAGCCCCCCCCCCCCCCCCCCCCCAACCCCTCAAAAACAAAACCCGGCGCCCCCCCCCCGGGGCCCGGACCACCAGGGGCAAAAAAGCCATTAAAAAACCCCCCCCCAACCCCCCCCCCACCACAACCCCCCAAACCCCAATAGGGGGGAGGGGGCGCTTCCCGAAAAGGGCCTTTCCCCTTAAAAGAAAAAAGGGGGGATCTTACAAAAAAAAAAAAGGGGGGGGGGGGGCGGCGGAGAAAATGGGGGAAAAGATTTTTTTAACACTTGCTAACACAACACACACATATGTATTTTTAACTAACGATCACAAGACCTAAGCGACGCGATTCGCCTATCTATGAATTCGCATTGCTATGACACTCGACAAAAACGAGCATTTCCCCGTCAAGATGGCGGTCAGTAAGTAATTGTTTTTTATAGCTGTAAACCTTCCAGTTACCTGATAAACTTTTTTTGTTCCCATTTTTATAAAAAAAAAACAGATTTATTGCATAATACGTATAAGAATATATTATCATTTCATACTGTTAGGCAATATTTCATTAGTTGTCTTACAAATATTATGTCTACGTAAAAGTCGTCTCTAGAATATATCGCTACCTCTTGATTTCTACTGATTTCATATTAACTAAATTGTTTCTACCTCTGTGTTTGATTCTACCATATCATCCACAAAGCTAACAATATTACCACTATATTTTAATGTAAAGCAGCTTGTTAGTATGGACACTAAAAAGTGTGAGCCCTAGAACGGTACCTTGAGGCACACCATATTTCACTATGCCTATTGCTTGAGTTATTTCACAAAATCTTTCTCTTCACTGCTTTTGAACAAGAGCAAAAACTTTTCTCGAAATCTTATTTCTTTGAATTCATCTAAAAGTTGAGTATGGCTAACAGTGTAAAAAATCTTTGTGAGGTTAAACAAAATACATAATGCTGGCCTACTTTCATCTAACGCATTAAAAATGTCTGAATTTACCTAAGCACTGACATCCTGTATATGAAAGTTTTTTATTTAACTTCAAATTGCCTATCTGATAATAGCTTAAGTTTTTGATCTAATCATTTACCCTGTATTTAAGAAGCTTTTCCAAAATATTTGTAAATTTATCTACAGTGGAGGTCGATAAATATTGAAATATTTGTAAATTCCTATCAGTCATATTGGTCGATAAATATTAAGTACTAGTAATATACCTCTTCTTTTAAAAAAGTATCTTAATTCTGGCCTCCTTTGAATTTATTGGGACAAACACCACCACTGAATATTTTGTTCATTTAGAAAGTTAATAAATTGTTCTACAATATCTTCTTCAATTACTTTTATTGCTTCTGCTTTAATATTTCTGCTTTATTATTTTTTACAACATTAATGATGTTTATTACTAGTAGATGAAGAAAAAGTTGTGTTGGTTGCTTGGGTATATTAGAAGACGGTGTTGTTTTATTTGACGGTGTTTGTTCGTAGTAAAATTTTTCCTATTTCTGCAAAGTAGTTATTTGGAATACATATTAGTTTATTCAAATTCGTTCTCTATTAAAAAACACGTTTTTGATTTAATTTCTTTAATTTGATAGTTCTGATTTTTACAGTTATTAATTTATTTTACAACATTCCACAAATAAATGTTTTGCATTATATTTTATAACTGACACTTTTTTCTTGTAGTAATTAACTTTAGTAGTTTTTATTAATTCTCACAACTTGTTTCTGTATTAATTGTATTAATTTTTTATATGTATACTCGGATTCTTTTGTATTTTTGGTGTAATTTATTTCTTTTGTTAATCGAATTTTCTACCCCGCTATCCAGCCCTTTCATTTTTGTTATTTACGTCTAGTTCAATATTACAGGAACATTTATTAATAATCTGTTTTATTGTATCTATTAAGTAATCTGTTGCCTCATATAGGTTCCTAATTAATATTATAGAAGAAATCCAACAACTTAACCTTTATTTGATTTTTTGTTATTGTAATATATAGACATACATATATTTGGAATATGATATGAACATGATATTCAAAATTATGACATATTTTACGTAAATTTTAATACGCCGAAATATTACAAATAGTCTTAATTTCCAATATATCTAATTGAAGAACACTGCAAACTTGTTATAACCGTTTATTTTTGTGTTGCAATATTTAGAATTTAATGTCACCAATAATATTAAAAATT